CACACACACACACACTCCCTACACACCCCACCCATGACTCCTGCAGGCTTTCTGGTGAAACTGAAAGTGAAACTTAACTGTCTGCTGAGCTCTGTGGCCCTCTGCGGCCCAAAGTTAAAAACTTCTTTTCAGGCTATCGAGGTGGCACTTGTGGCACACAAATGGGGCGCGGCCCATAGGTTAAGAATCTCTGGTTTAAAGTGTCTTTGACGTGCATATCCTTCAAATACAAAAAGTCAAAGATAATATCTTAATATTTAAAAAGATTGACATGATACACATGATTTTACCCATTTTGCACATAACTGGCATTTTCATGTGAACTSGGCTCAGCCAAAAGTGAAACAGGAAGTGACATCAAAGGGGAACTCTTCAAGAAAAGGAATTCTCTGGTATTTATTGAAATAATATTATTTGAACTCTTGACTCTTCTTCATCTCTCTGACACTGACTCAAAATAAATGAAACATCCCATTCTTCACTACAGTCTGTGTTGTTAGATATTGTAGCACTGCTCTGTTTACATTGAGACATTCCCCTTTGACATCACTTCCTGTTACGTCACGTGAGAATATCTCCACAAGTGTTCATCTCAGTGACATGAAATTCATTTTACAACATGCTATTAATCTTATTTTTTTAAAACCACATTTATATTTATTATAAAAATTTGATGTCACGGGCACTTAAAACACTTCTAACTGAAAGACGTGTTTGTTGTAGTGAGAATCATTATATTTTTTAACTACGTTACTACTTTCTACTAAGATCAGCAACTAGGAAGAGAGAAGTATGTCTTTATGATATTCAAAACACAAGCTGGGCATCAGAAAACCTGGTGTCAGGTTACTATAATAGCCTCTGTTGTGGGTGACTGAAGAGCTGGGGGACATGTTTGTGTGCAGTGTTGTACTTTTATCTCTTTGAAATCCTTTTTTTATTTTTTGCCTCACAACCTAGATGTTACTTCATTTTATTATTTGATTAAAAGCAAGCTTTATACAAAAATGCTCCAGATTAATTAAGTTACACAGAGAAAAAAATGTGCTTTCATATGTATTCAACACCTTTTCTCTTCGAAACCTCAATTACCTCATTTACCTTAATTAAATAAGATCCTCCTGTGATATATTACATGGTTTAAACGTGAAAGATGGATGGAGCAAGAAACAGAGAAATTTAAGAAAGATATAAGGAGGACCGGTTCAGTCAAACCCAAACCTCAAATGAGAATCTCTGGTTTGATTTAGAGATTGTTGGAYACAAGCAGCACCTGTCCATCTTGMAGGAGCTGCAGCAGTTTAGTCATGAAGAATGAACAAAAACCAGATCATAAAGACCAATTTGATGTTGAAGTGCTGCAAAAGGCAGCTCTACACAGAATTCAGATTTAGGGGCTGTAAACAAGCTGTGTTCATGCACATTTTTTTCTCTTTTATATCTGTTAGAATTAGAAAAAAAACAMGTTTTCCCCATTTGAAGTGTTTTTGTAGAACTGTTGCTTTTAATTGAATTAAAAATCTAGTTACACTCAAGGTTGTGTAGCAACAAAAGAGACGATTACKTTAACAGATGACATCAATAAAACAAAGATGAGTCTTTAATCCGTCAGTGTTCTCCTTTAAGCTAGATGAGCTAAAGCAACATATCAAGACATATTTCCAGTAAAGTTCATTCTGTGTTTGTGTTATTACATGTGAATCTCAGGGGAGCTCACCTGGCCAGGCATGGCAGGAGGTKGAGGCCAGAAATAAGGATTGTTAAATCGAGGTTCAGCCATCCTGAAAGAAACACACAGAAGGTTGTGAACTCTGGAAGGAAAYATTGGACTCTAATGGCACAGGTTGCTAGGTTTGTTTGTTTTCCTGCATTTTTTTTGTATTATTTTTTAGATGATCGATTTCTGCCCAGCATTCCTCGACGCTGTGACGTGTTTATGGATGTGTAGGTCTGTTGTTAGTGTGGAAAACAGTGGTTAAAAACCGTGTCAATGGCTCTCCACCCAAACAGCAGCTGACTGATGTGATTATCAGTCTTGTGATAACATACTTTCAAAGATACTCATGTTTAGTCTTTTAACCCAAACTCCGTCCCATCCAGCCCCACCTTTATCATTGATAAGAGGGAATATGTTTTAAAGGTTTCCAAGGAGGGTTTTTTTTTTTAATGAATTAAGTTAAAGTGTCTTCTTTGAATTTTCAGCCAACAGTGAATGCTGCCTTTGTGATAGGCTCTCACGTGATTTCAACAACTAGTCAGGGAACTCGGTGGGACCGGCTATCAGGGACAAACAGAAGCTGATGTGGTTTAGATAGTGATCCGTGGCCTCCTCAACTCAGGGGGGCCCCTGGCTGGTTGAGGGTCTGAAGGAACAGGCAGGTCAGAGTCAAAAGTCAGATGGAAGCAACACGCTATAGTTTATTCAAATCAAACGGCACGGCAGGGTTTTTAGCACTTTTCTGTCGTTGTTAATGAAAAACTGCAAACAGAGCTCAGATTTTGAGGGGGAATCTGATGTTTGATCAGGCTGCAGGAAACGTTCCTGTATTTAAGGTAAGATGAGATTCTGACTGTTTAAAGTTGTGATCCGAGGGTCTTTTGTTTCCTTCCATAACWTCTCTTCTCTGCCCTACATGAAGTTCTTTCTCAAACACTTCGCCTTGCATGCTTTGGCCCGCGGCACCATTCCTCAGTCTGTTTGGCTTAGCGAGAAGCACAACACGGTCCACGTCTGCGAGCCAAGAGAAACAAAACCGATACATCCCGAGGTTCGGGTGCACGGCGGACCTCACCAAGTATTTCTCTAATGATGCTAGAGGGRATCAGTTTGACTTCCTGGAGGGGTTTCTGTCTCAGGAGGGGTTCCTCTGCTTTTACTCGTCTTTGTGTCACTTTCTGAGAAAGCAAGTAATCACAGCCAGAGGGTTTATAACAACAAAAGAAAAATATTTTCTGTTTATGGCTGAACCCCCCCCCCTTTTTTTCTTTTTAAAGCCTTTATAATTCTTTCAGTCACTGGGTTCATTCTTGCAGCCTGTGAAGCTTTTCTGAGCCTTTCTAATTTAAAGATTCCTGCACACTACCCAGAAGATACATTTTCTAAATTATTGAATCACACTTGATGGGTTGTTGTTGTTGGTGATGATGATCCAAGATGGCCGCCAAAGCTAATCTTCAGTCAAGGTCAGTCAGGTGGGGTAGTAGCTGAGACTGATCCCAAACACATAACAGATAGTGCAAGTTATATACGTTTAAAACGTTGACATCCCTGTCCGTCTGTTAGCAAAATATTTTGTGAACAACTCAACTGATTTTAATGAAACTTTCAAGAAATCATCACTGGATGTACATCTACAAATGTTTAACGTTTGGTGTCATTCCAATTCAAGACAGCTGCCGCAGCTAACCTTACTGAACAAACACAAAAACGGGTATAGCTGAGTCAACTTTACAGACATTGGGCTAAAATTTGGTTTGGTAGTCGCTGAGCATCACTCTGAACACATACTCCGAGAGCTAACAGATCCCATGGGATCTGAGGATATTGCTGACCAGAAAAAGGGCAAAACCTCATTCATTTTTCAAGATTAAATTATCTTTAAAACTCCCATGTAAAAGGAGGCGATACACAATCCTTTAGGAGTACCAGCCTTTTTTTCTCTCACAAAAACACTGTTTAAAAAATGTTTTATGTGACTCATCCTGCTCATTAATACTATCTGACAGTTAATTTTTTAAACAAGTTTAATTGTTTTCTCTGTAATCTAATGATTTATGATCATGCTTGACATCACATTTGTGGAACAAACTATTCATATAGAGAATGAGATTGTGATAAGATTTTAATTAGTTGCCAATGAAGACATGTTGACAGTGTTTTGTTGAGCTTTAAACTCTTCAGTGCAMTGATTTTTTTTCCAGTAGTAACGAGGGGGTCATTCCTGCAACTAAAAGTTAATGATAACTCTCTGCTTTGGAGGATTTATTACAGGTTTTTTTTAAAGGGGATAAAAATAGAAACTGATCAGGGTTTTTTGCTGTAAAATCCGCCTCGAATGTGCGCATTTCTCCTCCGCAGCGCCTCTCTGTGCGCTGCCCGCCGCCTCTCCCACATTCTCAGACAGTTTATTAAAAAATTCAGACAAAAGGAAAACAAAAATGGCAGCTCTGTCTTATTTTTATATCCAGCGGACGCCATATTCTGCAGATCTGAATATTCCTGGCAATGGGGGAAGAAAAAAATAAATAAAAAAACGCCAACCCTCCTGGATGTCGGTGATAATAAAGGCGGCTGCGACGCTTCTGCATGCGGCACATTTGCATTGAATGATTGTTTACTTTGATTTGCAGGTTTGAATAGCCCGGCTCGGCGAGGAGAGGAGAGGAGAGGGAGAGGAAGGAAAAAAAAAATCTGACACTTCCTACAACAATCAGTGTCTTTGCTCAGCAGCTCAGGAGCCATAAAGCCCACAGCGGATGATGATGGTGATGATGATGATGGAAGCTGGGAAAGCGTTTTATGTGGAAAAAAAAAAAAAAAAAAAAACATTTCAAATGCTCGTTGTTTTAGGTCAAGTTCTGCGGGATTTGAAGAGAATCGCCGCGCAGCAGCTTGGAGAAAAGAGCAGAAAAGAAGCAGAGTGTGCAACATACCTGCGCCAGCCGCCGGAGAAATATTTTCATATAAACAGGGGAGGATAAAAACCGAGCAGATTCCGTTTTTTTTYYYTYYTYYYTYYTYYTYYTYTYYCCCYCTTACTCGCTTTCAGTCAGACTTCAAACCTTCCGGGTCGCCTGCTGTTCACTTCTGGGTGCTACAGGCGAGGAGCTGCTCCKTGCGCGCAAAAAACGGATTTTTAACCCATTTTTGGGGTTCTAATTGTAACACTTAAGTGCGCATTTCCGCAGAAGCTTCGTAAAAACTACGTGCAAAAGCATGGGGGTGGGGGCTTCAGTTTAAGGCTTTTTTTTAAGGGGACTGATGTTAGAATAAAGTAGGCCTAGTATTGTTGCAGGGCAGGTAAATCATAAAAACCAACACAATGACCCATTTTAATGTTCATTACAAAGACTATTTGATTAAATCCTGTCAGACAAAAAGTATGAGGTAAGCTGCTGTTATAATTTTCCATGATTTGTATGAGAGCCTGCATGTGTGTCATGTGTGGTAAATATGAGGAGTGTAATCCTCTCAGCTGCAGCAGCAATGACAGGCTGCTAATATGCTCTGTGCTGAGGTCAGCAGAGGGCACTGCTGCCACAGCACAGACCCACAGAGCCTCAGCTGCTCAGCGTGAGGACTCTGTCACTGAGCCTGTCAGACACAGTCCAAGGAGATGCTCCTGGTGGTCCTGAATAAGCTGTTCAGGGCCATCACAGGCAGGAAAAAACAATTGCCTACATGGCCAGTAGTAGATGCAGCCGTTTTGGTCTTTGGGGCCCCACAGCCAAGCCTGCAAAAACAAACAAAAAAAAAAAAAAAAAAAAAAAACTTTGACACCCTTCTGCATTTTAACTGGCTAAGCCCAAGTGCTGCTACAACTTTGATTTGATTTATCGTCCTAGCACCTAGATGTGGATTTAAGTCAGACTCAAGCCCGTGGATTCTTGAGGCATTGATGTTTCTGATGCTAGTTTATAGGTTTGTTCAATATTTTATCTTGCATTAGCAGCTTTTTATAATAAGTCATAAACTTTGATTGTTGTGGTTGCCGCCCAGTGAGCCATAACCTAAATTGGGGGMTCGTCCGGGACATAGCTTAGACTAGAACCCCTAATGGGTCCAGAAGTCTGTGCAGGGTCCATACCAGTTTTGCCCTTTTGAACCTCCATGAGGGTCTCTTTCTCTGTTATGGGGTTCATAACATTTCCAAATGTTTTCAGATGTTTCACACAGGTCCCTGTGTATTTTGTCTCCATGTTTTTTTCCCTCCCTTATATTATCATGCATGTGTACTTGGAGCATGCAGAAATGTTGAATTTAGTCCCTCCTGGTGCTAGACATCTTTAAATTTTAATGGGTCATAATTTTCAGTCCCTTCAGTTTTCACTAATACCTATTACAGTTGTACACAATTACATCACATTTGCTGCAGAATTGCTAAACATGGTCATGGACTTAAATGTGAAAATTAAGGATTTAAAAGCATATGTCCTCTTTAATAAAAAAAAACTAATAATAAACTTGAATACTGTTTTAGACCATACAAAATAAAACAAAACACWTCACAAGCTAAGGGAAAAAAACTTGTTTAAAAACAACTTTTTTTTTCTCCAATAAAAAATAGAGTAGAAACCTTAAGATTTAATCCTCCTGCTGCTCAGGTCAAACTGACCCACAAGGCCTCATGGGTTATTTTTGACCTGAGGGCAGCAGGAGGGGTTCAATATTCAACACAGTATTTATTTTCATTTAATGTTGAGTTGTTCACAAGCAGAATGCCCCGACCCAACAGATACATTTTACAACCGCGTTTGTATTATTATCTGCTTAAGTTTTTCAAATAGTTACCATACATGTAGAAACAAGAGGAGAAACAGAAAGGGTGATATCTGTACTCTGCTACACTGTTTTTACCTGTTGGAGCACCTGATAAATATTTTATTCACCTTTTATGAAATCAGACTCATTTACCAAAGTGTGTTCAGGGAACCCTTCTTCATAAGTAATACTCAATGATGAAGAAACCAGCTTGGTCTTTTTGGTAACTCATTACAAAAATAGAGCAATCAAACTTCATTGAATAATGAATAAAAATAGTAACAATTAAGAAGACAAAGTTGGTATTTGACAAATAAAGTAATTTACTCTACTTGAAATATTCTTTACACTATTTAACATGCTTAAACCCATAATGCAGATTAGCTGATTTGGGTCAAATCATGAATAATACAGAACCAGTTTTGAATTACACAGCTTTTCAGTTGAAACTCAGTCTTGAATCAAAACATGAGCCCAGGAATCAAAAACAAATTGTGTTATTTGCTTTACCTAATTCTGAATGGGTGTTGAGTGTTGGGAGTATTGTACTCTTAAACGCAGACAAAATATGTATTTTGTATATATTTAAATGTGGATGTTGTGATATAGATACAAAGTAGGACCAAGCTAAAGTTGTTACGGACCAGTTCAAAGCRTGTGGACTCACCAGTATCTCCCCCTAAAGAACCACAGGCCAGACTATGTAAAAATTTAACAAGAAGACCCCTCCAGTGTGTTCCTGTGTCCCGTTAGCCTGAGCTAATGTTATCACATTGGCCACCAGCTGCCTGCTTGACCTTAGACCCAGTCTGGGTTGCCCACATTGGGCCCAGCAGCTGTGAAATGTGGGGCACCCTCAAGGAGGTTCTATAGAACAGCTGGAGTGCACAAAAACCATGTGACCGTGTGATCGGCTGGTGAAGCTAATGGCTAACGCAAAATGGTCAAGAGTCTGGATTTACCATTACTGTACATGTTGACAACAGAGCAGGAAAAAAGGACTGATGATGTAGAAATCATAACAACTTTTATTAATAATATTAACCCAATTATTATTAATATTTTACAGTTTATATAATCTATTTAACGTTTTAAATAATGCCAGAAAAGCTATTTGTGTTGTGGATTTATTAACAGAAGATAAACAGGAAAATGTCTC